GTGTGTGTGTGTGTGTGTATGTTTGTGTGCGTGCGTGGGTGCGTGCGGTTGGTTGCGTGCGTGCATGTGAGGCGTGCAGTCGGTGCGTGGTAACTATTTTAGTATCACTTGTTCAACACAATAAAGGATGTGACACGTGTGTGACGCAATGTCGGTATAAGGCAACGATCTGCTGCATAGGAAGCCTTATATAATTTATAGTCCAGTAACGAGATGTCAGAGCTGTGTCGTTGAAGCGGGTGCGTCCGCGACACGCGTGTTTGGTCTGTGGATGACTGGTATGTACGGCGCTGTTTGCTGCCAGTGCGGCGCGTGGTTATTGCTGTCTGTTTGGTGTTTTTTGGTTTGTGCGCGCGCCGTGGGTGTGCTGTGTGTTGTGTATTCGTGTGTGTGTGTGTGTTGTGTGTGTGTGCGTGCGGTGCGGGCGCGCGCGTTGTGTGTTGTTGTGTGTGGTGTGTTGTGTGTGTGTGTGTGTGTGTGCGTTGCGTGTCGGGCGCCCTGGCAGCAAGCACAAGTCCGCACCTGCAGCTACAGCACACACGCATCTATTTACTATATATATACAACATATATTGTATATATATAGTCAATAGATGCGTGTGTGCTGTAGCTGCAGGTGCGGACTTGTTCTTGCTGCCAGTGTCGGGCGCATGTGTTGTGCGTGAGTGTGCGTGCGTGCGTGCGAGCGTGCGTGCGTGCGCATGTGTTGTATGTGTGCGTGCGTGCGTGCGTGCGTGGTTACGTGTGTTCGCGCGCGTAACTGTGTGGTGATGTAACCGCTATAATATAACGATCCAGTGCTAACGTGCCACAAGATTTCTCGAACCAGCAACTATTCGCAACGTTGTGATTTATACAAGGACCGATGTACTCATGTACTGTGCGTATTATATACAGTCGTCTAACTCTGTAAATATTTAACTCAATAAAAAAAACTGCATACACGAATCGTAGCGATCATACCCCTTTATTTCTATGTACCACCGCACGTTATTATCACATACGTCATACGACGCTGTTTATACCAGCGCAAATCGTCGTGTTCTCTAGGAGGTTAACTTTGTTCCACTTTTACATGCCCTCGCCTTGCGATTGTGCCGTGGTTAGAAGCACCACTGAACTCTATGACTGAACTAATGTCTGAGTAGTCATTGACAGGCATGTGGTGTGGTATTTGTTGTACCATGGGCTCGACGTTTAGCTGCTAACGCTTGAAAAGTTCGAGAATGATTCCATTTCTTATTTGGCTGTGCGATATGAAGCTATAACATTGACATTGGTGTAAAATGTAAGGATTCTTTCATGCTACACCACACTGAACGCAGTGGTGGAGTCGACATAGCATCAGCACTATAGGGCTATACTACTAACAATGGGCTATATTACTAGAGCTGGGGTCGACATTGAACTGGGGGCCACTAGCCACTACCACTGACCACTACTACTGAATTGTCCCCCTACCGTAAATAACTAAAATATTGATAAGCAATAGAAAGCGCGATGGGGAGAGGGAGAGAGAGCCAGTGCTCTCAATGCTCACAATACACACTCTCTCTCCGTCCCTTTTCATCTCGGATTCTCTCTCCCTCTTTCTCTGCCCCCTCTCCCTCTCTCTCTCTCTCTCTCTCTCTCTCTCTCTCTCTCTCTCTCTCTCTCTCCTCTCTCTCTCTCTCGCTCTCTCTCTTCTCTCTCTCTCTCTCCTCTCTCTCTCTCTCTCTCTCTCCTCTCTCTCTCTCTTGCTCCTCTCTCTCTCTCTCTCTCTCTCTCTCTCTCTCCTCTCGTCTCTCCTCATCGTCTCTCTCTCTCTCTCTCTCTCCTACTCTCTCATCTCTCTCTCTCTCTCTCTCTCTCTCGCTCTCTCTCTTCTCTCGCTCTCTCTCTCTCTCTCTTCTCTTCTCTCGCTCTCTCTCTCTCTCTCTCTTCTCTCGCTCGTCGTTCTCTTCATATATATATATATATATATATATATATAATAATATATATATATAATATGACGAGCATTTAAAACAAGATAACAAGATTTAACGCACGTACCATTCCGTTGCCGATGGCACCGGCGAGGAAGACGATACCTTGGTAGACCATGTAGGCAATGGTGCCGGGGGTCGAGTCGTGCTCGTAGGCTAATGCACCCACCCTCACTCTCCACGCCGCGCTCTCCATCTATACAGAGTACATAATACGCGAGCAGCCACATAATACACTAATAAAGTTACAATAAGGTATATTATAGCCTACAATAAGTATATTATAGTACAATAACTATATAATAGTACAATATAACAGAGTACATAATACACAATATAATCTCTATTATGTACTCTTGATCTTATATACCTGCTGGCTAGTGTCCGTGGACTACTGTGTCTACACCTCCCTCACGGTGCAGGCTGTGGCTACGTATACCCCTCCCTGTACAATGTGTGGGCTACGCGCGCTCCCTACTGCATAAACCGCCCCCCAGGGTGTAGATATGTCTCCTAACCTGTTTCTTTAGATTGATGTGACTTCCCCCCTCACCGACGGGGGTGACTCCCCACTCCCTTAAGCTACGAGGTTGAACTCCCCCTCCAACAACCGTACGGGGTGTGACTCCCCCCTCCCTCACCCGGTACGGGGTGTGACTCCCCCTCCCTCACCGTACGGGGTGTGACTCCCCCTCCCTCACCGTACGGGGTGTGACTCCCCCTCCCTCACCGTACGGGGTGTGACTTCCCTCTCTCACGCTGTGGCTTCCTCTCTCTCTCACCGTACGGGTGTGACTCCCCTCTTCTCCACGGTGCCAGTAGTGTGAGAGAGTGTGGCTCTACGTCACCGAATAATTAATTAAAGAATGGGCACGAGCTTGACACTTGGCCCTACTTAGACCTGGAGAGGAATGCAGTGTTTGCATTGAAAGACGACGTCAAGTATTGGGTATGAGTGTGGAAATGTTGCAGATGTGTGGAGAGAGACGAGAATGAGAGAGAGAGAGAAAGAAAGACTGAGAGCGAACGAGAGAAGAGACGAGAGAGCGACGAGCGACGAGAGAGAGAGAGAGAGAAACCCGAGCGCCGACGAGGCAAGAGAGCATGCGAGAGAGAGAGCATGGATGAGCGAGAGAGAGAGAGAGAGAGGGACTGAGAGCGAGAGCCCAAATTAAAACTTACGGTCAGTTGCTGCTCCAGAATTTCCGGAACACAATGAAAGCCACACCTACGCAGCGGAACTGCTCATTGCTCGCTTCTGACCTGATGCCCTCCTCTTTCCTGCTGCTGCTACTGCTTGCTTCTGCTTCTGCTGTTGCGCTTCTGCTGCTGCACTCCTGCTATCTGCCTGCTGCTCTGCTACTGCCTGCTGCTACTACTACGTGCTACTGCTGCTTCGGCTACTACTGGACTTACTGCTGCTTCTGCTGCTGCTGTTGTTTGCTGCTGCTGCTGCTGCTGCTGCTGCTGCTGCCTGCCAACAGCTATAAATGCTTCCCAATGTTCGCACGCGTCAGAAAATATGCACAGAAAATGCGCACAAGACCGACACGCATAGAACGCGCATCTTAGATTTAATCGTACAAATTACCGCCGAAATTGTACCAATTATGTAGCGCTTGTTGGCAAATTATTCGTTAGCAGAGGCGACAATAGCCGCATAGATGGGCAAGGCGTCAGGTAGCGTTCAACCGCCCCCACACGACATCGCCATTGACTAAATTCGCCATCGACATTGCCATCGACCGCATAAATTGAATTGCGCTGCGTTGCCACTATGATACGGTACGGTATATATATATATATATATATACGATGGAAACGATTTCGCACGATGCTAGGCGAATGTACTGTGTACGATTTGAGCTCAAGTTGGTCGAGTTACGCGTATGTAATCGTAGTTATTCGAAGCCTAGTAAATGACGAATTTCCTTTCCCCTTATTTACTCCTGATATATATACCTATATATATCAGGAGCTAATAATGACAAATTCATAGCAAATTCATTATCATTATCACTCATTACTTTATTATTTTATTATTATAGCCATTATAGCATTATAGCTTTATTGTCATTAATTAGCTCCTGATATATATAAATATAATATATATACCTCGCGAACATTTAGTTGTGAAAGTCTGTTATCTCAAAATGCAGTGTGTGTAACGCTACATGAGGAGGAGGCGAGGCCGAAAGGTTGGCGATGGAAAGAATCGAACAAATGAGAGATTGCAATAATATCAGCCATAAGACATAAAATGCAGCGAGCGGGGAAGAATGAGAGCGAAGAGCAAAAGGAATGGAATGAATAGAGAGGAGAGAGAAATCAGAGAGCTCGCAGGAGAATAGGAAAAATGAAAATAGAAAGAGAGCGAGAGCTAGAGAGAGTGAGAGAGCGAGAGAGAATCAAGAGCTCGAGGTGAGATAGGCAAAAAGGAAGAAAGAGACGAGAGCTATAGAGAGAGTGAGAGAGAGAGAGAACGGAGAGAGCGAAGCGAGCGGAGAGACATGAGAGAAGACGTGAAGGAAAGAGAGAGAGAGAAGAGAGAGAGAGAGAGAGAGAGAGAGAGAGATGGAATCGCGAATATGACATTTAGGTCTTCTTGTACGTCATACGGGAGGGGGGGTAATAGTGCATACATTAGCAATGAATGATCATTTGGCAGACCCATTTTCACCCCTCATCTCTCTCTCTCATAGGCCTATGTATATATATATATTAACAGGAGCGGTATAATGACAAATGTTATACAGGAGCGTATATTTGTCATTATACGCTCCTGATATTACGTAGCAGATAGTGAGAGTTTCAGAATATTTAGCGTGTCCTGCAGTAACAAAGCAGACCATAAACTTTGACGCTACATGATCATTGGCAGGCTACCGCATTATGAGTCAGTGGCAATACGTGTACCATAGTAATGTGTTTAATTATAAATGAGCCGTGTCGCCATGGCTACGGATTGGCGCGCTCGCAGTGAAGCTGACGGGATACTAACAAACCATGTGAATGTATATATATAATCAAGAGTAGATAATATCAGCATTATGTTTACGCACATGTGCAAACCGATATATATGCAAGATGCACAGATATGTGCGTATGTGGGTACGTAAGTAGTGGCAATACCCGGACTCCGACCTTGAGGAGGCTTCTGATTGGTCGAGAGACACCACATGACGCGGAAGTGATGTCATAGACCGGAAGTGCCTGGGCGCCTCCTGGTGGTGGAAGTTACGTCATAGACCAGAAGCCACGTCACTTCGCCGGGGGGGGTCATTCCGGTCTATGACGTCACTTCCGCCCCGGCGATGTCACTTCCGGTCTATGACGTCACTTCCGCCCCGGGGCATGTCACTTCCGCGTCTATGACCGTCACTTCCGCCCGGGGGGCATGTCACTTCCGGTCTATGACGCCACTTCCGCGGTCACGTGGTGTCTCTCGACCAATCAGAAGCCTCCCTCAGCGTCGGAGGTCCGGGTAGTGCCACTACTTACGTATGTATGTATGTTTTCTAGATCTTAAGAGAGCAGTCAATTTTCGGTTTCGTTTGCATAACGGCTGGTGCTGTTTTTCTACGTTGTGTGAGGGTGTGTGAATGCGTGTACGTTTCTGTACATTCTGGTTATTATATATATATATATATATAATATAATAACAGAATGTACAGAAACGTATATTCACGTACACACATTCACACACCGTCTTCACGCGCAGTAAACAACGTAGAAAAACAACATGTGTGCGCGGTTCACGCATGTGCGAGCGTCCGTGCGTCGTGTACGTATGATAAAAATATAACAGCTTATGAAATTTACATAAACGCACGATGGCCTGAATTCTGTTTCGTCTCACACGTTTATTTGACGCGTACCCGACGTGACGTCACCATACTTCGCGTCGATCGTCAACCGACGTGTGCTGCAGTTGCATTCAGAGAGCAGCACCAGCAATCATCATCATCATCGGGAAATTGATATTAATATACTATAAAGTAATAAAATTAGCTAATTATTTCACACGCACGCACACACACAGAGAGCAAACAATTTCTTACACGAATACAGAGTCGCAAAAATTGATCCTAGTGAAGTTACTACTATGCATGTTGCAGTGCCTGGAAAGTTTTAATCACGCTCTCTCTCTCAATCTTTATCTCCTCTCGCGTGCTTTCTCGCCCTCCGCTTCCGTTCTCTCTCTCTCTCTCTCTCTCTCTCTCTCTCTCTCTCTCTCTTTCTCTCTCGCTCCCTCGCCCTCCCTTCCCACTCTTTCCCCCGTTCTCTGCATCTCACTCCTATCTATCACTCTCTGTCTCTCTCTTTCTCTATCCTCTATCAAGGACAATATACAGATCCTTTTATGTATACATATATCTTTATCTTGACCTCGCCTCGCGTGAACGGAGGGCCGCCATAGTGCGGATTTTCCCCACCGGGTGGCGACCTAAGCTTAGCGGCGACTATATACATAAAACAAGCAATTACAACAACAACAACAACAACAACAACAACAACCATAAATAAGCGGCAAGGAAACCCCACCGAATGAATCCCTCGCCGCGCCGCAACACCTGCGACGAGGCAGACGACACGCGGCGCCCCCTGTCGATCAGAATTTCGACTATTTTGTGTTTCTCCTCCGACCCATTTCACCGGGGGACGGACGCAACTGCGTACTCAGCCGGGTCCGCAGCCGATTCGATCGCGCGCGCGCTCGCTCGAAACAACGTGGACTCTTCGCCGTGACGAGAACGCAGGTTTCGAGTAATAAATACACTACTAGGAGGAGGAAAAGCGAACCGAGTCGGCCCCGGAGGTGCAAAACTCACCTCCCGGGCGCGTGACGGGAGAAATTCCTTCGTCGCGCGACCGTCGTCGGACGTCCCGATGTCGAAGACACCGGCAAAATTTCTCGGTTCGTTTCGGCTGACCGTTGGTCTCATCCCGATCTCCTCCGTATGATTTTGACCACAGCGAAACTGTCCAGCCGGGGAGTCGCGGCGCGAGCGAGGACAACCGAGCGTTCGACGGCGCTCTCTGTAGTGCATCGCGCGCGCGCAGACGTTCAACGTGGCCACCAGGTGTCGCCGGATCCATGATGCAGTGGATTCCGATCTGGGCGACGTTTCCGGAATGGATTCCACTCACTGTGACCACTTAGCGTACGTTTATACATGCGTGCACACGGCCTATATCTACCTAAGGCTCATGCAGATATATATACGTATACATGTGTGTGTATACAGATATATAGATATAGATATATGTACATATATATGTACACCATGTAGTGTCTGCTGCGGTGGAAAGTTTCAAGTTCTCGACATCGCCTACGAATTTCCGCTCGGGGGGATAAATTCCGCTTCCGGATCCGTTCCGCCGTGACGCGGAAGCTTGTAATCTCAGTCAACAGGTGTCGCCACCGAATACTACGTGTGATCACAGCATCGCATTGCTAATTCCTCGCTAGCGCCCTCTACAGGTCGACATCCATCCCCGTCGCCGGTCAAATCTCGACCGCATTTCGCCAGGCAACTCTCCCACGTGGTCACAACCAGGTGGAGCCACTGTAGAACTCAAGACGATTAATGCGCGTCTGATCCGTCGTTCGCTGGCGGCGATCTCGTTTTGCCGAGATAGATGGCGCCACGCGCAAGCGACAACGCCCAGCGCTACCACATGTGCGTCTCTCTGATTTCGCTAATGATGTGAGAAGCCTTTTGCAGCGCCTGAAATAAATAGAACACGAGACAATCAGTGAAGGGGATGAATGGGAACCGAAATCTAGACCGACTTGACCTGACAATCGACCTGACTTCGCAACCTGTCCACCGGCCAAAGCTCGTGACCCAATCACCAACCCGGTGTAGCACGAAATTCCCAACTTGCGAAATACATGATACAGGATGCGTATGCCAGAGTTTGATTGTTTAATTTGCATTGTTCACTTGATTGTTCGCTTGGTCGCATAGCAATCAATTTCCAAAAACTGATCGATCAAACGTCGTGTGAACGCTCTCTTCAACGACGCTCCGTGTCGTTTTTGATCAATAAGAATATCAACTACAATCTCTACCTATCAACTCTAAACTATAACTAATAATAAACATTACAACACAGTTTGTGTTCGTCCAAGTGTACACAACTTATCGTAACACAAAGACGAGCTGTGATTGGTCGGGTTGGCACGCATGCGCACACGTCAGGAATTTCGCGCGACACCGGCTCCCATGACCTCTCAACCAACCCGACCCACGCTACCTCCTGACCTGACACTACGACTGACACCACAACCACGGACCCGACCCACGCTACCTCCTCACCTGACCCATGCTACCTCCTCACCTGACCCTACGACAGACCCCACGACCAATCCAACCCCACAACCACGGGACCGGCCCCCCGCGACCGACCCTACCCACGCTACCTCGTGACCTGACCCATGCTACCTCCTCACCTGACCCTACGACTGACCCCACGACCAATCAAACCCCACAACCACGGACCCGACCCACGCTACTAACTCCTGCCCTGACCCCACAACCAATCCAACCCCACAATCACCCGACCCAACTCGACTCATCCCCAGCAAACTCGTGACTTGACCCAACCACGCGAAGTCTTGACTGGCCTGACCCCACGACCTCACGACCGACCCAAACATGCTACCTCTCGACTGACTCAAGCCATTGACCGACTCGACCCCAACAATCCAATCACTGACCCGATCCCCACAACTTCACTTGATTGAAACGGGGACAGCCCCTAATGCGAAACACAAGGATTTGACATAGGTGGGATAATCGGATCATATACTCGCCTGTTTATGGCCACCATCATGATGCTGAGAAGCGAACAGATGCAGCCGACCAGACACACTGTCCCGATAAACACACAGAGCGGCCAGTGGTCCAGAAACCAGGCGGCACCGAGGTGAGCGGCTAGCAAAAAAAAAACATGAAACTACTTGTTTCGAGCTTAGATATTAACATTAACATTAACATCAAAATTAACACTAACATTAACATTAACACCAACATTAACATCAACATTAACATTAACTTGTATCCAGAGAGACATGATACAAGATTGCGTGGCACAGCTTTGCTGTTGATCCTGAGCGCTGCGCGCGGATGAGACGCTGTCCGCAGTGGAGACGTGCGCCAAATTCGAGGCCCGGCGCACGTCTCCACAGCGGTCAGCGGATAGTCTGTAGTTTTAGAAGATGACAATGATTGTATGGACGATATAAATTGGAGATTATAAAACAGTAAAAAAATCGCTCAGTCATGCTCCAGATTAGCCACAAGTTCCATTCTCGCTTAACACTACATTGGCTAATGGCTACTGTTCCTACGACGTGTAACAGTCGGAGAGCCTGGTCGGTTTAGCCCCAGATTAGCTGAATCAAAAATTATTAGAATTTAATATGAACAAAACAAATATAATGGTTATATAAAATTCACAAACAAAGAAAGGATCGAGGGGATTAATAGGCAACCGAGTAATAAAAAAATGCACCAAATATTCATACCTAGGAGTAGGAGATTTAATTAATGATATAGGAGGTTATAACGCTATGATAAGAATCAGAACTGAAAAATGTAGGTCAAGGGAAATAATTATTATGGGCAAAAGAGCAAAATTGTGGAAATCATATATAGAAGCAAGAGTGAAATTATGCGAAAACACAGTTTTACTTTTCTTCCTAACTAATAGTGAAACATGGACTAACTTAACTACACACACCTACACAACCCCCACATTAACATTAACATTAACATTAACATTAACATTAAACATTGACATTAACATTAACATTAACATTAACATTAACATTAACATTAACATTAACATTAACATTAACATTAACATTAACATTAACATTAACATTAACATTAACATTAACGTGTATCGAGCTTAAACATTAAACATTAAACATTAAACATTAACATCTTAACATTAATATTAACATTAACATTAACATTAACATTAACATTAACATTAACATTAACATTAACATTAACATTAACATTAACACTAACATTTAACATTAACATTAACATTAACATTAACATTAACATTAACATTAACATTAACATTAACATTAACATTAACATTAACATTAACACATTAACATTAACATTAACATTAACATTAACATTAACACATTAACATTAACATTAACACATTAACATTAACATTAAATACTTTGATGAGTAGAATGTGATCGACGTATGAGCCGTATTTTGCCGATGCCGTGTAGGTAGGCCGTATCGACGTTCTAGATAAAATGGAATGCCAGCTGTTCACATGCGTCGGCTCTAGATAATTGCTAGCATTACGCTGCTTCCTTTTCACGTTAGCAACGCAGCGCCTCGTCGAAAAGTCATCAATCTTTCTGTGAGCCAATTTCATAGATAACCCGGCCTGTTATAATGGCAGGCTCTTAACGCATGTCGGATCCACTTAATAGCGGATGTGCTGTTTATGGGGGGGGGGCAGAGTTAACTAATATGTTGACATAACATGTCTTTATATTTTTATCAATTTCTACATGCCGCGCTAGGGTATAGGGCCTATATATACTTGAGATATTCATGAAAGACTTTCTGTGAATAAAACGAGAGTTAAAACAACTCCTATATATATATATATATATTATATGATATAAACTATATACCTGTTGTTATAAATATTGATATTTGCCGTTGTGTTATTAGCCGCTGTGCCCAGATATCTCTTCATGTGTGTCCGTGTGTTTTTACTTTAATAATTTCTTAGATAGATCAGATTGATTCTAGCCACGGCGTGTAAAACATTCAATGATGTTGGAAGATTTTGTGTTAAAATTAGTTTTTGAGCTGCATATCTTTTTTAATCGTAACAATCGAGAAATTAAAAAAGATACTTCCCTTAAATCGGGCGTCGCTAATAACCCCTAGAAAAGACGGCGTGAATAAAACGTCAGACAGATGCCCATTAGTTTTAACCTATCACCCTTCAATCCTGCACATAAAAAGTTTGTTAATTGATAATTATAAAATTCTTCAAAACGATCCAATCACAGTTAACATCTTTTCAACCCCACCTTTATGCTCGTACAGACGTGATACCAACCTCCGCGACACTCTTGTTTCAAGCACCGTTTACAACTCTTACAACACCATGAGCCAACCTGGCTCATACCCGTGTTGTCGGAAACGTTGCCGTACTTGCCATTTTATCACGAATAGGTCTGTGGTTCAAGGGCCTCGGGGCAAATTTATAGTGCGGGATTTATTTACATGCGTGTCGACGAACCTCATTTACGCCATTGAATGCTTTAAATGCCAAATTTACTATAATTATTGGCGATAATTAATAAAGATCTATTCGCCTCAATTTGCATGGTTTTCCGGTTGCTGACCATTTTAACCAACCTGATCACCACATTGATGACGTGCGTGTTTGATTTTTGAGTCCATTGCTTCGTTGTGCGTGTGTGTGTGTGTGTGTGTGTGTGTGTGTGTGTGTGTGTGTGTGTGTGTGTGTGTGTGTGTGTGTGTGTGTGTGTGTGTGTGTGTGTGTGTGTGTGTGTGTGTTGTTGTTGT